ACAATGTCTTGAGCGTGGGTAAAAGGTGGGAGACACAAATCCTGTGTTAATTTGTCCAGCTCAGAACCAGGGGAGAGACTCTACAGACATTCCTGAGCAGTCCACTGTGCCTTGAGAGCATCACTTGCTCAGTATCAGTCTTCTAGCAGCAGAATCAGGAGATGCTCCACCAGGTTAGAATCAGACTAGAAGATTATAGAAAGGTGTTCACAGGTGGTGCTTCTGGCGAGTCATCCCCTAAAGATGTCAAGCTAGGCCAGTAAGTGGAGTCGGGCCTGGGATATGTGGGGAGGGTAAAGGCAGGGCTCATAGCCTGGAGAAAGCCATAGGTCCTCATAGGCACTGGGCCAAAACCGTCAGGAGCAGGCAGTTGTTAAGAAAAGGATGGCCAGAACTTGCCTCTGTGTTCATCCTGTGGCAAGTATTTGTTGATCAATTGCTATGGGCCAGGCCTGTGCCAGCACACAAGCCACGCAGGTCCCTGCCTTCATGAAGCGCATGCTGACACTGCGGGAGACAAGCAGGTGTTTGTATATGCAGATATACATATACATACATACATACATACACGAAGACAATTTATGATGGCAAAACAACAAGCCTGAGCTTCCTGGGGCTCTGACTCAAGGTCAAAACCTTCAGGACTGAAGCTGGTCTGTTCTTGGAGATGAGCAGACAGTATATAATAACATGTTCATTGAGTGAGACAGTGAAAACAAACATAAGAGAAGTTAGAGAAGATGGTGAAACTCTTGTTGGCTGGTCACCAGAGCAGTTTTTATGGAAGAACTAGTATCTTAAGGCTAGAGCTAGGCATGTGGATGGGCAAGAAGAGAGAAACTTGAAGAGAGAGCAAAGGAGCAGTCAAGTGGGCATGGAGATTCGTATCAGTAAGAGAGGAAGACTATCAATGTGACGCAAACTCAGAGCCTTAACACAACGTACAAGTCCCAGGATGATCCAGCCTCTGTACATCACAGTCCTACACCTCCCCCTTGCCCATGTACTCCTTTACTAAATGACCAGAGTTCTGTCAATGTGCACCCTCTGCCCAAGTTTTCTCAAACTTTGTTTCTTCTACCTGAAACAGTCTCCTTTCCCCACACCCGCTCCTGCCTGGTAACAACTACACATCCTTTAGATCTTTTATGTCTCCATTTAAACAAGTATCTTCCTACCACTAATGCTCCTAAGGCCCTGGGCTCCCAAACTAGAAGGGTAGGAACACAGTCTGAGTGTTCTGAGGGCCACCAGAACTTAGCCTTGACATGGTGGTGCCTAGGGCCCATTAATTGTGATATGGTGAGTATGACATTTCAAGGAAATCAGCTTGCTAATATTGTGCCCCGAGCTCTCACCTTGGCCAAAGGTTGAGTACACTAAGGTTGAGTGTCTGCTGTGGGGGTACACTCCCTACCTTCTTTGGTGATCCCACAGGAAATCACCTGTCTCATTCTTCGTCCACTGGCATGGCTGGAGCTGATCCCACCCCCGGCGCTAGGGAAGGGCGTGTGAGAAAGGCTTGGCCAGACAGAACATCATACACCTTGGCCCCAGTGACTAGCTCAGGGATAGCACGAACCTCAGGGACAGGGTCTGGCAAAATTTAACTCTGGATTTCTGCAGTAATATTAAGAAATTCTCTTCTTCCCAGGGACTGCTAAGCTCATGTGATGTGAGCCTAGAGCCTCCTGAAAATGGCACCAACCAAGGAGGCAGAGCTTGGAGAGAGTTCGGATATAGTCCCTGACAGCTTCATCTCACACCTGGGCTCACCTGAGGGTTAACAAGGACAGACAATTCTGGGACAAAAGCCAATCAGTTCCACTGGGGCATGAGGCAGTTCAGAAGGTTTAGTCCCTTGCAGCCGAGAACCTTGACCCTCCCCACCAAATGTTGACCAGAATTAAGGCAACAACCAAGTTCTATCACTTTGTGGACACAGTGCCCCATAAAGATAATATTACAGTAGCAAAAATAACTTCGTCAGTTTAGGTTTTGCTTGGTAGTACGCATTTGTTAGCCACGCACTAGTTTAGACAATAAACCATCAATGTAACCTCTTGACTATTTCAGTCTGCCTCAACTAAATTATTAACTTAATTCGACAGACAAAAACCACAGGTACACAGTTTTCCATTATTTAGAAAAAGTAAAATCCTGTCTAAAACAGGAAAATTTTCTGACTGGGAGTGCTGTGAAAAAATATTTAAAAAAAAAAAAAAGTAGAGCTCCCAGGTTGCTGTGTGTGCCAACACACACACACACACACACACACACACACACACACACACCCTAAAAAGAAAAAAAACTATTCCAAATGCTTTTAAATATCAATCTCTCTTTACCACCCATACTGACCTCGGTCAGAGCAAGACAGTATTAGGAACTGTTTCTTGTCACTGGTACAGTGACCAATTTGTACTGGTTTGCGTGAGACTTTCCTAATTTTAGCACTGAAAGTCCCATATTCAAGGAGCCCGAGTTTCAGGCAAACCAGGAGAGCTGATCACCTTATGTTAGATAAAACCCAAAGCCTTTCCCACCATCAGCCTTGTTTCCTACAACAACACCCATCTTGACATGCCACAGTCCCCCAGCTCTGTCCATGATGCCACCCACCACACACATGCACATGACTCCTACTCATCCCTGGGGCCTCCACTCTAGAGTCACCTCTTCCTTCCTCTAGAAAGTGCCCAAGAAGCGATCTCACAGAACCCTTGGACTCCTACAATCCCTTCACTTGCCATACTGTACTGTCACTGTTTCTTTGGCTTCTCTCCACCAGCCTGCAGACTCCCTCAGGAAATGAGCTGTTCTATACCCAGGACCCAAAATGTTTACTATCAAAGCCAAATGAAGTGCAGCGTGAGCACTGGGGTGGCCACTTGCTGATTACAGCATCTTTCTCCAGGCCACCTTGGGATATTCTGAGCCTCACACCAACACACAGATAACTAGGTTCTCTGGGCTACAGTATGGATTAAGCAGATTGGCCTGATCCAGGGCAGGCAGCTCCACTTTCCAGCAATCTAAACTATGAACTCAGGCAGTTCCAGGATACTACAAAGAAACTCGAGACCCTTTACATTCCTGAGTGTGTGGACTGGCAGCAGAGATGCCCTATTGGTGATAAAGCACAGACAAGTTCAAAGTGTCCCTTAACTGACTTAGTGGGAAGTTTTATTTAGTAAAAGAGTGTAAGGGCCAGGGATTTGACTCAGTGGTTCTGCTGCCTGTCTCGAAAGTGAAAGGGACTGAGTAGGAACCCTGATACAAAAAAAAAAAAAAAAAAAAAAAAAAAAAAAAAGGCACAGAAAATCAGTGTAACCAGTGCAAACTTTAGGGTCAAGTCCCAGTTCTGATACTCTGGCTGCTATCACCTTGGGGCAAGTGACTTAAGCTACTTGAATCTTATTTTCCACTTGGATAAAACGGAGTGACAAAAGTTCCTGTCACTCACAGACTTATGAGGACTGAGGAAATAACACAGAGGGAGTCCTCAGCATGTACCTGGCACAGAATAAAACACTCAATAAATATTAAATTTAAGAGGGCTAGAGTCAGGCCGAGTTAGGTGAGAGCCTGCAGGTACCTGGTGCCAGCCGGAGGCCCAACCCTTCTGGTTAACCCTCCTCCCCTTTCCAGTCTCATCCACCCACTCAATAAATTCCTGAAATCCTTAAACCACTCCCTTTCCAGGCCAGATGCCCTCCCATTTAAGAGACCTGCTTCCCTACCAACCCCCATCCTGGTCCTGGGCCTCTTTGCTCTCCTTGCCTTCTCTCCCTACTACCCCCCAAACCATCCTGCCTATCCTCCCTGAAGTTACTCTTTTCTCAAAAGTCTCTATTTTCCATCACTCATTCCATCCGGCCCCTAAAGCCGAGGTCTTGGCCTGCATGTCCTGCACTTTTCCCCAGTTTATTCACTGTTTTTTCCTACTCTGTGTGGGGCATAGTGCTTGATACTGAGAATACAACTGTGAACGAACCAAGTCCTAGAAGTACCAGTTTAATAAGACATGCAAAAGCAAGTAAAAATAAACAGGGTAATGCAAGATAGCAGGTATACTTGAAATGAAATCAAGAAAAAGATATGACAGAAAGGTATTGGGGTGGGGGGAACACTTTAGGTAGGGTGGTGTGGGAAGTCCTTGTTGGGCTAATAAACACAGCTACCACGACTGACCACACACTGTGGAATGGTACTGGGTCAACCACTTCCACACAAGGCATTACTGAATTTTTGTAGGAGGTTCATCATCCTCATTTGCTGATGGGGAACTGGAAACTCAGAGAGGCGAAGTAATGTGTCTAAGGTCACACAGCCATTAAATTATGGAGTCACGATTTGGTCACAGATCTTTTAATCTCTGTGCACACCTGCTTCCCCAAGACTGTTTGCCACACGTCTCCAGTTCATCTCCCCAAAGAAATCCTTTTTTTAATTACTGTCCTTTATTGAGCATTTGTGGATGTTCTGAGCTTTCTGTTCATTCCTTATCCAACCAACCTTCAAAATAATTCCAGGAAGTAGGCTCTGTCACTATTCATTCATCTTACAACTGAGGAAACGTAGGCCTAAATGCATACACGCACATTAGAACCCAGATCGATGCCCGACCCCGGGGCCTTTGATCCTTGAGCTGTACAGTCTAAGTAGTATCAACCTGGGAAGCTTGGTGGCCACTAACCACCCGGGCAAGAATGAAGTTCTCGCCCACAAACCTAAACCGCGTCTCCTTACTCTATAGGGGAGATAGGGGGATTCTGAGAAGCCAAGCGACTTGTCCAAGGTCACAGACAGCCGAGAGCAAAGGGGCCAGGGTTCGGACCCAGGCGCTTACTCCAGAACCCTCGCTCGTAACCACCACATAGCCTTTCCCGGGCGCTCTTCGCTGCCCTACCTCTTCGCTCTCAACAACTAGCGCCCCCCGACCCGAGCTCTGAGCCCCCAAGCCCGCGGCCACCCCCTTGTGCCCCCTGCTCACTCACTTGAGGTGGTCCAAGGAGTGGATGTTACGGGAGGACTTGCCATGGCCCCCGCCCACCTCCCCATCCCCCCCAGCCGAGCGGCCCGGCGCTCGCGGCAGCAGGACAAGTGGAGGTAGCCGTGGAGGTGATCCTGAGATCGCCAACCACCTTCCTTCCCCGGCCCACAGCCCAGCACTGACATTCAGCCGGAACCGGCCGTTCGACCGCCGCGCTTTACGGCCGCTGCCAAGAAGAACTCTGGGAAATGTAGTTCTCCTGGGAGGGCCTTCGCGATAGGACTCAGCCAATGGACTACAAGGCCTGGCGTGCATCACGCGGCGGGCCCGAGGAGGCGGGGCGAGAGGAGGAGAGGCTGCTGCACAACCCGGGTGGGCGGGGTCCTGAAGGACTTGCTGAAGATGAGGGAAGTCGCTACAATATTAATAATTATTAACTTTATAAGATTAGCTCTTTCATGGTGCATACCATTTGCCATTGTCTTAAGCGCATTATGTATATTAAAGTATTTAATTCTCACAACAACCCTATGAAGTGGATACTATTATATTTTCATTTTATCATTCAAGACAGAGTCACAGAAAGCTTGACTTGTCCCAGGTCAGGCAGTCAATAAGGAGCAGAACCAGAGTTCAAGTCTAGGTGTCCCCATTTTTATTCCCCAATAAACTAAAACTGCTCAAAATCAGTAATAGCTTTGTCCTCAGAACCTTTTATTTTTCCACTTCAATTTTAATATATATATGTTGGAAAGGTCTTCATGCAACAAATGTGTCAAAATTGAACATCCTGTACTTTCAGAGGGTATCTCTGGTCTTCACCCAAAACCTATGCCATTTCTCACACTACTACGCTAAGAAGAAAAAAAAAAAAAAAGGAAAGATCCATTTTCTAAATTTCCCCCTGGATTGGGAGTGGGAGACTAGGTGGGGGCAAGACTTCCCTGTTCACTATCCATTTATTCATACATTTCTACTCAAAGTTATTTAATGTTGGGGTCCCATTACCTACACTCAGAAAAGATTGGGCCTGGGGCCAGTGTTCTCCCCCATGCCTAGCAGAGATTTCCTGTATAGGATGTGTTCAGTAAATATTGACAGAGTGAATTGTTTGTCTTCCCTTCAGGAATTGGAAAATGGCTACCAGGGCAGGGTTAATGGTTTACACAGGAATTTTTCTAAAGAGGGCAAGAGAAAGACATGGAAGAAAAAGAGCAGGTTCTGGTCTCCAAAGAAACATGCCCAGGCCCAGCAGCTTTTAGGGTCTCTCCATTTCTCCAGGGCTGTTTCATCTGTAAAAAAAGTCAACATACTACTCTCCCTATCTGGCTGCAAGTAACCAATGCATGTAAAAGATCCAGCTCAGTATATCCTTAAAGATTCATTGAACTGCTTTGAAAGGCAGTGTAGATCAGTCTTCCGAAGGATGTATCATGGTTGCCTGCGAGCAGGGAAATTCATGGATGAGACTCACTTTCCTATGTACTTTTTCGGCTGCTACTATGTGAATTTCTACTGCTTTTAAATACAGTTTACAAAGCCAAAAGAAACAAGCAACCTTACTAGCTAGGAATTTGACCTGTCTCGGACTTTCTTCACCCAAGTGCTCCCAAATCCTTTAGTGTCCATCCCGCCTTCCCAACCTTCCATACAGCAGAATTTGGGGATGTGAAAGGAGCACTGACTGATATTTCTCACCCCATCATGGAAAAACAAAAACACCAGGGCTTTAGGAATGATCAAGGTTTTCAGTGGAACTGCCCGCTGCCCCTCCCCTACTCCACCACCTAAACTGGGGAAACCGAGTCCTAAAAACACGTGGCGCAATACCAAGGTGCAGAGAAAGCTCGCGGTTCCCTCCAGCTTTCGTGGTCTTGCAATATTTCTAAAATGGAATTGCGTTCAATCTCTTTTCCCTCCCTCTATTCTCCGAACCCGCAGACCGAAGCCGACCCAAGACCCGAGTGCACTACCACCAGGAAAGCAACTCTGAAGCTGGTGCGCGGAAAGGCGGAGCGAAGGAATACCCGCCTTCCTGACCACTCAGACCAATAGGCTCGGGCGTTGAGCCGGCCAATGAACGTGGGCGAGAGGCGGCAGGCCAATGAGCGCTGGGCCGCTCTGAAGGTGGTGCTCGGATCCAGACTGGGGAGCGTTGCGGCGGCCGCAGTCATGGATGCTGGGCCTGCGGGGACGCTGAGGGACCTCGGGGGACAGCCGGGGCGAGCGGGAGAGACAGCCGCCAGAACTGGCCCTCGACGTTGAGCTTCGGTGAGGGACCCTCTGCCGCCTCGAGGGCCACTGAGCAGAAGCTCAGCGAAGGAGCCGGGTAGTGGCTGGCCAGTTCCTAGCCGCCCAGCGGGTCAAGAGGGCACTTCTTCGGGTGCTGAGGCCGCCGTACAACCTTGGAGGCCACCTGGCCAGCAGCGCCTCCTCGGTC